CGAATGGCTTGGCTCCTGAACAAATTGGCTCCCAAACACTGCAAGCCCGGAAGTGAGTGTTCCGGTTTGCAAACTTTTTCGGAAGCTGAACGTCCAACGTGGCTTTCGATTGAGCGCAGGAAGCTACTGTAGCCTATCGGGCCGCGCCTTGGTTTTCAAACCATTTCAGGAGTCAAACGGACACCCGGAATGGATTAAGTTCAAGAACCAAGGTACCACTGCATATCCATGTCTCAATTCCTTTCCTCCTTTTCTCTTTTTAAGCAGAAGTGGGCAATGCTGCTGGACTCCCATCAGCCTAAGTCACTATGACCAATGGCCAGGCATGATGGTTCAGCAACATCTGAGACCTCGCTGAATCACCAGGGTAGATTAAGTGCTTGGACTGAGAGAGAATAGGGGCAAGGAAAGGCTCCAGAGCTCAGGAGGACCAGTTTGAGGACACCAGTGGGGAAAAGGGTGCATGATCGTAAGAGCCAGGGTTCAAGGTCCAAGTCCCACCTCCCCACAGACTTGTATTCCTCAATAACTCACGGATTGCCTGAACCCCTCATACCCCAGAGCTTGATCATTCAGATTGTCTGCAGGAGCATCATTGCCTATTTCCTGAGTTGGTGAGGCTCATCTGACAGTAACAAAGAACTGAGCCTTTGGTGTCATTGGTCCAGTCCTGTGGAACACACTGCAAACAAAGATTCAGCAGGTGCCTTCTGTGCCAACTTTTTAAACACTTGATGAAAACTTCTCTTTCCTCCAGGCATAAGCAGGCAATTACGAATACACCTTTCCGCAATAATTAGCTGATGTGCGTTTTCAACTCTTTTTAAGGGTTTATTGTACGGTTTATTGGATTTTAATGTTGTAAACCACTTTGATATATAGTTTTCATGGCATACCAGTACTGTATATAAATATTTTTAGAAATAAATGAAACTCTGTGGCCTTGGCCAAGTCTCACTCACAGCTGAGTGCCTGCCCTGTAAAGCAAGCTTAGCAATGATCTCCTCCCCAAGTGACTACAAAGGGAAAGGGGAAAAAGATATGAAATGCTGTGTCAAAGAGAAGTTCTATGGCAGGTGTGGGGAACATCTGGGGCCCTCTAGATGTTGCTGGACTACAACTCCCATCATTCCTGACCATGCTGGCTGAAGGGGCTGATGGGAATTAGAGTCTGGTAACTGCTAGAAGGCCGCAGTACTCCCCACTCCTGTTCCACAGATATGGCTGGAAGTTGTGTGATGTAATGACCGTAATCACTTCTTCAAAAACCAGAAGAATTCAAGAGCCAAGGGTCACTGTGGGTGATAAAAGATATAAAATCGGTTTATGGTTGGAAGGCTACAGACCATGGGTAGGCAAACTAAGGCCCGGGGACTCAATCGCCTTCTAAATCCAGCCCTTGGACGGTCCGGGAATCAGCGTGTTTTTACATGAGTAGAATGTGTGCTTTTATTTAAAATGCATATTTGTGGGGCATAGGAATTCATTCATCCCCCCCAAAAAATATAGTCCGGCCCCCACAAGGTCTGAGGGACAGTGAACCGGCCCCCTGCTGAAAAAGTTTGCTGACCCCTGCTACAGACAGTTGCTCCAAGGAACAGTCCTGCACTGCCTCCTAGTGGCCATCATTAGAAATACAGTGCTGGTCATGCATCCATTTCTACCCAAACTATTTCAATTTATGCTCATTTCCCAATGTCTTTTGCCATGTTCAAGATTCCTAAATCATTATCATCATCACCAATTGATTTATCACCTTCTATAAGTAACTGTCTTACGGAGATTTGCACACTAAATAACTAAAAACACAAAACAGCAATTACATTTAAAACAAGACGAAAACCTTGGAATCATGGAATTGCAGAGTTGGAAGGGACCCCCAGGGGTCATCTAGTTCAGCCCCTACAATGCAGGAATCACAGCTAAAGAAACTTTAACATGTGGACATCCAATCTCTGTTTAAAAACTTCTAATGAAGCAGATTCCACCACCTTCTGAGGTGGTCCTGTTCCACTGCCAAGCAGCTCCCTCAGAAAGATCTTCCTAATGTTTCATCGGAATCTCCTTTCTTGTCATTTGAACCCACTGGTTTGGGTTCTCCCCTCTGGGACAGCAGTAACGTGACACCCTCTTCCTCTCACCTCTTCCCCAGGTGAGAAGCTCCCTCAACCCTGCCTCATAAGGCTTGGTTTCCAGGTCCTTAATTATCGTTGGTAACCCTCCCCAGCACACCTTAACTAAGCAGAGGCTCTTGGTGCTGCTGGACACCTTATTCTCTAGGACCATGGGCCATCCTGCCTGCAGCTGATGGGAGTGCAGTCCAGCAATCTAGAGCAGTGTTTCCCAACCTTTTTTGGGCAAAGGCACACTTGTTTCATGAAAAAAATCTCGAGGCACACCACCATTACAGCCCCGTGACGTCAGCGCGCAGCGCACGCGGATCCCACTTATTCTGAAGCTCGCACCACTAGCCGGGGCTCTCACACCGTGCCAGGGCGAGGCGGCGCGGCCCACTGACGTCATCGCGGCTTGCTGCCGCCCTCGACTTCCCTGTTCCCTCCCCTCCCTCGGGTCGCCGTGGTTACCGAGGACTGCAAGCTGCTCGGGCGAGCGTGGGGCATTAAGTGGGAGAAGGAAAATTAAAATTAAAACTCGCCTGAAGGCCGCCTCTCCGGATACAGTGGTGCCTCGCAAGACGAAATTAATTCATTCCGCAAGTCTCTTCGTCTTGCGAGTTTTTCGTCTTGCGATGCACGGTTTCCCATAGGAATGCATTGAAAATCAATTAATGCGTTCCTAGGGAAACCGCCTTCAGACTAGGTCCGGGGACAGTCTGTCCCCCGACCTCTTCTGAAGGCTGGGGGGGGGGACAAGGGCTTTTCTTCCCACCCCCAGCATTTTAAAAAAACCCCGGGACAGCGGAGGACTTCTCCGCTGTCCGGGGCAATCTTAAAATGCTGGCGGGCGGCATTTTAAAATCGCCCGGGACAGCGGAGGACTTCTCCGCTGTCCGGGGCGATTTAAAAGCCCCTGGGAAGGCAGGCAGGGGGGACAAAGATTTTCGCCCCCCGCCCGCCTTCAGAAGAGGTCCTGGACCTCTTCTGAAGGTGGGCGGGGGCGAAAGTCTTTGCTCCCCCCTGCCTGCCTTCCCGGGAGAGCGGAGAAAGGCAGCGCGTTTCTCCGCTGTCCCGGACGGCTTTTGAAGGCAGGCTTTTGAAAGCCGTCCGGGACAGCGGAGAAAGGCAGCGCGCCATTCCCGTTGTCCCCCGACTTGGCTGGAAGGCTGGCGGGGGGAGAAGCCTGCTCCTCCCCATCGCCAGCCCCGCAAACTCGGGGGACAGCGGGAGAGGCACAGCGCGCCCTTGCCGCTGCCCCCCGACTTGGCTGGAAGGCTGGCGGGGGGAGAAGCCTGCTCCTCCCCATCGCCAGCCCTGCAAACTCGGGGGACAGCGGGAGAGGCGCAGCGCGCCCTTGCCGCTGCCCCCCGACTTGGCTGGAAGGCTGGCGGGGGGAGAAGCCTGCTCCTCCCCATCGCCAGCCCTGCAAACTCGGGGGACAGTGGGAGAGGCGCAGTGCGCCCTTGCCGCTGCCCCCCGACTTGGCTGGAAGGCTGGCGGGGGGAGAAGCCTGCTCCTCCCCATCGCCAGCCCCGCAAACTCGGGGGACAGCGGGAGAGGCGCAGCGCGCCCTTGCCGCTGCCCCCCGACTTGGCTGGAAGGCTGGCGGGGGGAGAAGCCTGCTCCTCCCCATCGCCAGCCCCGCAAACTCGGGGGACAGCGGGAGAGGCGCAGCGCGCCCTTGCCGCTGCCCCCCGACTTGGCTGGAAGGCTGGCGGGGGGAGAAGCCTGCTCCTCCCCATCGCCAGCCCCGCAAACTCGGGGGACAGCGGGAGAGGCGCAGCGCGCCCTTGCCGCTGCCCCCCGACTTGGCTGGAAGGCTGGCGGGGGGAGAAGCCTGCTCCTCCCCATCGCCAGCCCCGCAAACTCGGGGGACAGCGGGAGAGGCACAGCGCGCCCTTGCCGCTGCCCCCCGACTTGGCTGGAAGGCTGGCGGGGGGAGAAGCCTGCTCCTCCCCATCGCCAGCCCTGCAAACTCGGGGGACAGCGGGAGAGGCGCAGCGCGCCCTTGCCGCTGCCCCCCGACTTGGCTGGAAGGCTGGCGGGGGGAGAAGCCTGCTCCTCCCCATTGCCAGCCCTGCAAACTCGGGGGACAGCGGGAGAGGCTCAGCGCGCCCTTGCCGCTGCCCCCCGACTTGGCTGGAAGGCTGGCGGGGGGAGAAGCCTGCTCCTCCCCATCGCCAGCCCTGCAAACTCGGGGGACAGCGGGAGAGGCGCAGCGCGCCCTTGCCGCTGCCCCCCGACTTGGCTGGAAGGCTGGCGGGGGAGAAGCCTGCTCCTCCCCATCGCCAGCCCTGCAAACTCGGGGGACAGCGGGAGAGGCGCAGCGCGCCCTTGCCGCTGCCCCCCGACTTGGCTGGAAGGCTGGCGGGGGGAGAAGCCTGCTCCTCCCCATCGCCAGCCCTGCAAACTCGGGGGACAGCGGGAGAGGCGCAGCGCGCCATCCCGCTGTCTCCCGACATGGTTTGGAGGCTGGCGGAGGGCTTCCTCCTCCCCCAGCCCCGCAAGCTCCCAGAGCGATGCCAAAGCTGCGCGCAGCTTCGGCATGGCTCTGGGTCCCGTTCTGGGGGAGGGGGAAGCTCGGGCTTCCCCCGCCCCAGCCCCACGCCTGGCGGTGGGGGAATAATTTTTTTCCCCTTTATTCCCCCCCCCCGCCAATTTTTCCCGCGGCACACCAGGCAACGTCTGGCGGCACACTAGTGTGCCGCGGAACACCGGTTGGGAAACACTGATCTAGAGGGCCACTTTCCACACAAAAAATAGCACAGCCATATCAGAACAAAACCTGCAGCCTAGGTCCATGCTTAACAGAAGTCCCCACCAGCCCCACTTTCAGCTCTATGTGTTTTGCAGATGGCAAGGAAAACAGAAAACGTCAGGATGTGAATTTCTGACACCATAACCACATTTATTAGGAATATTTACAGAAATCGTCAACACTTAAACTTCTGCCGTTCCTACTTACAGCCTCTCAGGAAGGCCCCTCTTCTAGCTCAGATAGCAGGGAGGAGGATGGTGCAGTCAGTCCACTCTTGGTCCCCAGACAAAGAACCCACACCCACAAAGAGATATTTGTTTAATGTTAGGCCAGTTCTGAACAGGTGTCTCTTCTGAAATGGAGGCCTGTGTGAGCATCAATAGAGGGGTGGGTGGGAACGCCTCCTCCTTAGGTCTTTATGGCTGTGTCCCGAGACTTGTAGGCCACACCGCGACTCTTCAGTTCCCGGACAATGCCTGCAGCAATAAAAAGCATGATGTATGTTTAAGGGGTGGGGAGAAGAGGCAAGGAAGGAAAAGGAAAAGGTATGTGGCAATAGCAACCCTGCAGCTAGCTAATTAGCAAAATCCAAGAAAAAGCTTTGTCATAGTGGGTTTTATCTACATCTCCGTGTGCAAGTATCACATCCTGAAACTGCAAATTTCCTAACCAGCTGCAAGGTTAATCTTTCTGTGAGCCTAGTTCTTCCTTTTCCTCCCCCATTATATACATAAAATAAGATAAGAAGAGCCTGCTGGATTAGGCCAATGGCCCATCAAGATCCAGTATCCTGTTCGCACAATACCAAGCAGACACATTTTCTGGGAAACCCTCAGGCAGGATTTGAGCACCAGAGCACTCCTGCAGTTTCCAGCAACTGGTAGCATTGCTGCCCCCAACTGTGAAAGCAGAGCATAGCCATCAAGGATGGTAGACATTGACTGCCCTTTCCTCAATGCTTTTTTAAAAGCCATCCAGTTGCTGGCCATCGTTACCTCCTGTGGGAGTGAGTTCCATAGTTTAACTATGCACTGCACGAGGACTTCCTTTTGCCTGTCCTGAAACTTCCAAAATTCCGCTTCATTAGATGTCCATGAGTTCTAGTGATATTATGCAAGCTCTTTTCCTCAAGACAGAAATGCCCAGATGAGCACAGGCTCAATAGCAAAAAAGGTGGAAATGTCTGAGATTATCAACCCAGATGGACCTCATGTCCAGCTTGTTGGCTTCTCATTAGGGGATCTAGGTGGCCTGAAGAGGATGCTGGACTAAAAGGGTCCCCTTGGGCCTGACTGAGCAGCTTAGCCTTGTGAGCAAGGAAAGACTTTTAATTCTTACTAAAAGCCTGGCAAGTTACCTTGGGGTAGGCGGCCAGTCACAGACACTGCATACACACCGGGCTTGAAGTTACCTGGGGGAAGAAAACACGTTCTGGTTATGACTCCTTAAACCAACAACTTTATGAAAAGGGAGCCTGGGCCATCCTGAACAGCAATGAAGAAACACGGACAAAAACACTCTTACTCCCCACCTTGGTAAGCCTGCAGGGTTGCTGTGAGGGAAACTGAGAATACAACCACTGCAAAAAGGGTTTAAAGAAAGTAATAATAGGATGGGGGGGTGGAAGGTCCCCAGGTGTGTGGGGCAAAACAATGGAAGAGGTTATAAAAAGCTGCTTCAATTGCAAATGGTAGCAGACCAAAAGGGAAACACAGAGGAAACAGCAAAAAGCTTGAAGATTTACAGCCAGTTCCAGAGAAATTGGGTTGATCTGACTTTTCATTTGCCATAATTATGCTGAAGGCGGAGCGCGAAAGGACACAAAGGGGTGGACTTACTGATTCTCTGCCACTTGGAGACCCAGCTGTCCTCAGGGCTCATCATGGCAATAATGCTGCAAGAGGACAGGGAGAGTTAGAACTGCAGGAACACGTCACATCAACTACGCTTACTCTGAGGACGATGCACTCATGGGTTTCAGCCTGAAGGGGTCCCTCACCTCACTCATCCACTGAGAACACTGCTTGTTCACCTGGAACGTACAAGGCTGCTTTACTATGGGCCCATCTAACCCAGCACTGTTTGACTGGCAGCAACTTCAGAAGGTCTTAAACAAAAGTAATTTCCTGCTCATTATCTGGAGATTTTCATAGCACATGCTTTGCCAATGAATGCCCCGTTCTCTCCTCACTGCATACATCCAATGCCCACAAAGGCACCAAGAATGATCAAAAGCAACCAGTATTCCAGCCTTCTTGGGAACTTGCCTTCTTGGGGCATATTAATATACTAACAGGGCTACTACTATATTATGTGCCTAAAGCAGGTGTGGGGAATCTTTGGCCCCCCAGGTATTGCTGAACTCTAACTCCCATCCGCCCTGGAAAGTTTGGCCATTGCCCTGGGAAGATGGGTGGTGTAGTTCAGCATCAAAATCTCTTTCCTGACTGGGAAACCATCATTGGATTTTGAAAACAGTAGCATCATCTTTTCATACCTAAATTCACTGGTTTCCTGAACTTGTCCATTATTTCTAGCAGAGGAGAAGGCAACTCTTTGATTCTTTTCCTGTTCCACACAAGAGGCCACGGGACTCAGTTACACAATCCACATGTGGGGAGAATTATTAGGCTGAGAGGCAGGCAACTGCTCCTCTTTGCCTGTGTCAGTTGCCTTCCCTTGCACATGAGCCCAGCTCATTCCAACATCTTGCATCTCTAAGGAACTCGGCTTCCTACTTAACACTGCATACCATGGATAATTGCCCTGCTATCATTTCCATGGTCATTCAGCTGGATGAGGGGACACCAGTCAAAAAACCCTTGGTCTTGTCATTGGCTGCTTACACTCAAATGACCAAAAAACCTTACCAGAAAAATGGCTGTGGGTGCCACACCACAGGCAAGCATACATTGCAACCTAGTGTGTTTAATGCTTGCCCCAAGCCTAATATCAGCAAGGGGTGAGTAGGGTGGTAGAAAAAGGTATTGATAGATAGCCTAAGATGTAAAGGCAGTGTGAAGAGGATATTGGGTGAAAGGATGTTGTAAGAGCCAAGATGTCTGTGAAGAAGTATGAAGGAATTTGCTAATAGATGAATCTATGACCTTGTTCTGCAATGTTACTTTTGCTCTTTTGATAGGGTTGTTAGCTAACTGCAACCTCTGCTTATTACGTGACTTAACTTCTACACGTGTGTAAACATAATACCTCTATATAAACCCATGTAACTTATAGGCCTATGGACCCCACTTCTTTGGGTTCCCAAGCAGCTGCTGTTGTTCTAACCAAGCAAAGCTGTCTTAAAGCATCACAACTGGGTGTGGTTTGGGTGTGGTTAACTGAAAAAAATCCACTGCAGTACGATGTGAATGCCAGAGATGACTGCAGGCACATGGGTGGCCCCCTGCTCTAGACAATCTTTTTTTGGGAGGGATTTCTGTAAGTTCTTTTAAGTGAGTAAATATTGCATTTTTATTCAGCCGTACCTTGGATCCCGAATGCCCTGGTACTCAGACGTTTTGGCTCCTAACACTGCAAAACCGGAAGTGATTGTTCCGGTTTGCAAACGTTCTTTTGGAACCCAAACATCCAACGGGGCTTCCATGCCTTCTGATTGCTGCAGGCTGATTCATGCAGCCAATCAGAAGCCGCAATTTGGTTTCCAAACATTTTGGAAGTCGAACGGACTTCCGGAATGGACTCCATTCGACTTCCAAGGTATGACTGTATTGTTGTATGCTGCATTGGGACCTCCTGGTCAAGCAGGAGTAAGAAATCCAATAAATAATATTAGTAAGCAGACTCACCCATCAAAGGAAGAGCTGGTGCAATCATAAACCATCTCACGGTTCCCCTTCATCTGCAGGTAGGAGTCACAGTTGTCACAGCCGTCAAACTCAAACTGGTCAATGGTCTGAAGAGCAAGATGAAATTAAATCAGGAAAAGGAACTCAAAAGGAAGCTTCTACAACTAGAGCTTGAATAAAACAAAAAAACCTGCTGGAGCACAACCTTTTCAAGGAATCATTCCATCATTTCCTCACAAGGCAACCAATGAGAGTTATTATAAATAAATTCATTTCTAAAATTTGCAAAAAAACCCCCAAAAATTTAAGCACATGAAACCAATCCAGGCAACAACACTGTGGCCAAATCAAAAATGTATTATATGGACGCTTGGTTTATTGTGATTGTTTTATTGATAAGTAAATAAATAAATAAATAAATGGCACACACCTCTCATACATCTATCCACTTATTAGTTGAGTTATAAAGTCAAGTTACAGATAGGTAGCTGTGTTGGTCTGCCATAGTCAAAACAAAACAAAATTCCTTCCAATAGCACCTTAAAGACCAACTAAGTTAGTTCTTGGTATGAGCTTTCGTGTGCATGCACACTTCTTCAGATACACTGAAACAGAAGTTGCCAGATCCTTCTATATAGTGAGGAGGTGGGGAGGGTATTACTCAGAAGGGTGGTGGGAATGGGTGATTGGCAGATAGCTGTGATGAGCCTGTTGACGACTCTTAACAACTGCAATAGGTCTTACAGGAAAAAGCAAGGGGTGAGAAGGTGAAAAATGGCTTTGGTCATGTATAATGAGATAAGAATCCAATGTCTTTGTTCAGACCAGGTCTCTCCATGGTTTTAAGTTTGGTAATGAGTTGCAATTTCAGCAAGCTTCTCTTTCCAGTCTATTTCTGAAATTCCTTCTCTACTACAAACAGCTACTTAAGGTGCTTACTTGAAAGAATTTTTTTTGTTTTTATAAAGTTCAAGTCAGCCTAAAGACCCTGTCGAAATATAAAATTTCAGAATCTTTGCCGATCAGTGATAGACATCACTATCAGGAACGGGGTTGCAGGTTGCTGAACAGGACTGGGGAACTGCCTCACAAAGAGTCTCAAAGTTCCTGCCCCAGAACCTGGGACCTTCTGCATGCAAAGCAGATCTGCCACTGAGTGACAGGTATTTCCCCTCAATGACTGGGGCTGATGGGAATTGGAGTCCAGAACCTCTGGATGATCATTGTGGGGAGGCTGCTGTAAGATTCTGCTTACTGTTGTAATCCGGTGGCAAACTGAAAAGAAATAAGAAAACCCCATACAGAGAAGAGTGAAAGGAGTTATGAGAGCCATCTTCAAATATCTGAGGGGCCATCACAGAGAAGATAGAGCAAGCTTGCTTTCTGCTGCTCCAAATTTTAAAAAATTGGGAAATGATATATAATGAGTTGAAGAAAATGTTTAAAATGACATTTGTAAAAAAAACCAGAAGCATTTTTGTTAGGGATTGTAGGACAAGACCTGCCAAGGAAAACAAAGAATTTATTTGTGTATGCAACAACAGCGGCAAGAGTCTTGATAGCGCAAGGATGGAAGAATGAGGAAACCCCGACAAAAGAACAGTGGCAAGAGAAATTGGTGAACTACGCAGAACTGGCTAAATTGACATACAAACTGCGAGATAAGGACAACTGTGACTTTAAAGAAGAAAGGGAACTTTTCACACATTACTTAAAAAGACAACAAAATGAATTGGACTCCTTGGCAGATTTTGAATAAACATACACAAATTTATTGATTGATAACATGGTAGACAGATAATGTAAGGATTTGTATAATTTTATAACATGCAGAGAATAATATGTGCTGAGAAATCAGAGAGAAGGAGCTGAGGGAAGTCTCTGGGGGCGGGGGCGGGTGGGTTTGAGTGGGTGGGAGGGAAAGGGGGGATTGAATATGATATGTTTTGATATGTTGTTATGTTGAAATTGCTAATAAAACGGTTTAAAAAAACAAAACACAATTGCAAACAGGAGATTATGACTAAACATTGGGAAGACATTTCTGATGGTAAGAGCAGTTCCACCGTGGAGCAAACTCCCTCGCTAGGTGTTGGACTCTCCTTCATTGGAATTTTTTAAGCAGAGGTTGGATGGTCATCTGGCAGGGATCTTTGGGCTTCAATTCCTGCGTTGCAGGGGGTTGGACTAGTTGACCTTTGGGGATCCCTTCCCAATTCTAAGATTCTATTACCTTTACAGTGGGTACTTCGGGTTAAGTACTTAATTTGTTCTGGAGGTCCGTTCTTAACCTGAAACTGTTCTTAACCTGAAGCACCACTTTAGCTAATGGGGGCCTCCTGCTGCCGGCCGTGCCGCCAGAGCACGATTTCTGTTCTTATCCTGAAGCAAAGTTCTTAACCTGAAGCACTATTTCAGGGTAACGGAGTGTGTAACCTGAAGCGTCTGTAACCTGAAAGCGTATGTAACCCGAGGTACCACTGTATTAAACAAAAAACCAAAAACCCCAGCAGCAGGCCTCGAATGATGGAAAATAATGCGCCACTCCAGGAAAGGCTGCGCTAACAGCTTCTGCCATTTGCAACTTCTCTCCGCTGCACTTAACTGCCCTCTTTGAATTCTTTTTTAAACTGGTGAGAGACGATCTTCCTGTGAAATGACCTAGTGCTTTCAAAAGCATCTCCGGGTGCTCAAGGTCGAACCTCACCGAACGAAAACTAATTGGTGCAGGCTCCTGTGACAGGACGGACCATTTGATTCCGGGAAGCGGTGACACCAGAAGGCATCTCGAGGATAATGACTCGAAGTGACAGGCGCAGACTACAAATCTGGCGCAAACGTTTAACGAGGAGGGCAAGGCAACCTTTGAAAGTGGAGCAGGGCCTCCGTGGAAACGCAGCGGGTCCTATCTGGGTTGCGCAAGGCAGGGGAGCTCAAGCGGCTCATCCTTGCCCTCAGATCCTCCAACTACGAGGGAGAAAACTGAGGGAGAAGGGGAAAGTTTGAGTTAGTTCACATTTAAGGGCCGGACCTACCTAATTCACAGGTATGTCGAGTGAGAAACATCCTTTCTTCAAAATGTGCACTTATCTGCATTTTGCAACACAGCTCTCCAGCCAAGAAATGTGTCCCAAAATGCACTTATTTTATGCACGCTGGGCCAAGAGGGAGAGTGGTTTTCTCCTCACAGAGCTACAATTCCTAGCAACCTTTCAAACGTAAGTTCCTGGGATTCTTTGGAGGAAAGTAAACGTGTTCTCCATGTATGGTGGTGGATATAATCTTTTTCCAAGCCATGTAAGCCCATGATTCCCAAAGTGGGGCGGGGGGGGGGGGGTTACCTAGGGGGCTAAACCTGGGATCTTCTGCATACAAGGCAGATGCTCTACACGGTGAGCCATGAACACGTTGAACCCTTCCTCTAAAACCAATGTAAGATGCTAGTTCTCATTGTCCTGCAGAAAAAACTGAAATAAATAGGAGCTCCTTGTGCAAAATCAGAGCATTGATCCAGCTAGCTCAGGATGGCCTACACTGGTTGCCAGCACCTCTCTCCGAGGTTTTACGTAAGGGACATTCCCAGTCCTAATTGGAGATGCTGTGGCCTGAACCTGGGGCCTTCTGCATGCAAAGCAGGTGCTGTACCCACTGAGCTAGAGTCCCTTCCTACTCCTATGGCAATGCTAGACAGGATGCCCCCCCCCATATTCCTGGTTGATAGAGAAGAGGTGTTTGAGTGTTGCAAATCTGAAAAACAACAACTCATTTTAGTTTTCTTTATCCCATATGGTCCAGGTAGATCAGATCAAGGGGATGCATCTAACCCGACATCCAGCTTCCCAAGGCAAGCAGATGCCTCTGGGTAGACCACAAGCAATGCCTTCTTCTGCTGCTATTCCTCCACAATTACTACCCTGTTTCCCCAAAAGTAAGACATCCCCCGAAAATAAGACCTCCCCGATAATAAGGCCTCCCCCGAACATAAGGCCTCCCTGGAATATGTGTACCGTATTCTTCTCATGGAAAAATAAGACGACCCCTGAAAATAAGACCTAGCGCATCTTTGGGAGCAAATATTAATATAAGACACTGTCTTGTTTTCGGGAAAACAGGGTATTCTGACTCACAGCAGTTGGCAGGCCTGTCCTCCACTAACCCGCCTAATCTCGTTTCGTATATTGCCACATCTTGTAGCAAGGAGTTCCACATTGCTCAAACCACACAAGTGGTCATATCAGCACGGCAGCTGTCATAATAGCAGTCGGGATACCGTCTGCAGAGTGGCTAGGTATCAGGGGTGAGGAACATCTGTGGCCCTCCAGATGTTGCTGGACTATAATTCCCAACATCTGTGAAAATTGGGATATACTGCCTGGGGGGGGGGGTTCATGGAAAGTGTTATGTCCAAAACACCAGGAGAAGGGCAGTAGGATTGGAGACGGCTGGTAGATAAACACACATCAATAACATATTTATTTATTTATTTGATAAAAATTTATATGCCACTGGATTGTAAAAGAGAAACAAACAAATTAAAGGATAAAATTATCAATAGAAAAAATAACAGCAATAATCTAAAACTTTCAAAAAGTTAAAATGACTACCAACAGATCAGAACTAGCTCCAGCTTTCTAGATATCTGGGTAGGAGGCATCTCTAAACAAGATTTTTTTTCATCAGGCACCAAAAAATAGTACAGTGAAGATATCTGTCTGATATCAATAAGCAGGGAGTTCCAAAGTGTAGGTGCTGCCACACTAAAAGTTGCATCTTTGGTGTCTCCGTTTGCATCATACAGCACCTTGAGATGATTGTGTAGAAGGCAATTAATAAATTAGTGATAATAATATCTCCTTGATATAACCAAAGGCCACAGGCAAAACAGTTTTGACTCAGGTCTCCTTGGCTGAGCATCGTCAGACAAAGAAGTAGGCTCAGTAGCCACAACCAGAAAGGCAGCTCTGAGAATTTAAATGCTCAAGGGAGACACACAAACGCAATTGCTTGTTCCCACCATTTCCCTAGAAAATGAGGTCAAATCACCTCTCCTCCCTTCTTTCCCTCAGATTTGCAACACCCAGAAACACTGAAATGTACACTGCTTTAAGGCTTACCTTCTCTGCAA